AGCGGGCTGTATACCGGTTTTCTTCCATCCGGGTTCGGGTTATAACCAATACATTTGGTATTTCCCTAAGAACTATACCAAGTTTTCGGTCTACATACCGGAGAAAGAAATGAAGAATGGAACAGTTAGTCTCAAGAAGTTGTTGAGTAGGATCGATAAGGAGAAGATTTCGAGGATGAGGAACGAAGTTGTGAAGATTATACCGAAGATAATATACACAAAACCGGGATCAGTTGGACCGAAGAAGATCGAAGATGCGTTTGAGGTTGCAGTGGATAGAGTTCTTGAGAGGGTAGCAATGGTTAAGAGGATGATGGAAGAAGGAAAAGATCTTGAGAGTGAGTATTCACAAACAAAGGATTTGAAAAAACTTGAGTGAAAATCATACGAAATAAGTTGTTTTTTTTGTTGTTATATTTTGTTGCATTTTGAAAACACATTTATGTTAACTTGTTGGAAGCTATTGCTTTGTGTGCCGGTTCAGCTGTTCCAGATCGAGTATCCCGGTTGGGTTAACTTTGGGTAGGAAATGATTGGTTTGGTACAAACAACTTTGGTTAAGGAACCATTCAACTCACGAGAAATCGAAACCGTTGGGGGGGGGGGGGATCGAACGGTCCTTATGGTTTGACCCGCTATTTAGAAAATACCCGCCCGGTTAAGGGATTTTCCGACCCGGGAGATTCTTTCTCTGTCTCTTTACTAAAGTATGAAACTTTAAACTGAAAAATCGGGAGGACGAGACGAATCAACCTGAGAAGCTTCTTGATCCTGTCCAATTTTCATTCTACGAATCGATCTCCAATTCGTTTCTTGTTTCCATTGTCTTCTTCCTTTTGAACCAATCATCTCCGATTGATCGTTTTTTTTTTTCTGATTCCGGTCAGTTAAATTAGGGTTTTTTGTTGTTGTTCTGATCCGATTTCCTCGAAAGCACGAAGATTGATGATGAAATTCGAAGCGTGATATGAAAAGATCTGTGCTTTCTCGAGAAGACTTGATGCCAGAAGTTGCGTTGTGTGGTTTTCGATGATGGAAAGAGAAACGGAGCGAAGTTTGTCGGAAAAATCGAGAAGAAGCGATCGTGAAGATTTGAAGGTAATCGAGTGGGAAGAATTCGACCATGAGCTCACTCGGTTATGGAGTCTTTCTTCTGCTCTCAAATTAGCCACAGAGAAGAAGCTTAGCCTCCAGCCAAAACTCGAGTCTCTTATTCAGGTTTTTCTCTTGGGCATGCCTGGTTTTTGATTAGTTTCAGAGTGTAAAGTTAAAATTTTTATTAGTGGGTATTGTCTTAAGGAATGTAGATGAGGCTAGCTTGAAGCTCATTCAAAGGAATGTGCCTTGTGTTGTTTAGTCTTATTGATGTGCACTACTTAGCGTTTGAGTCTTACTTTAACTACTCAATGAGCTTTAATTGATTAGTCCGCGGATTAGCGGGCGGCCAAATTTTCGGGCAGGTTAGTAGCGAATCATTGAAACGCACGAATGAACTCGAAGAAATGCGTCAGAGGCTGGAAGCAAGAAAATCGGCGGTGGAAAAGACATCGATTTCTTGCAAGGTTACTGAGCAGGATGTTAAAAAGAAAGAGGAGATTCTTAGTACAGAAGTGAGATCTTTGCTAGTAGGCGGCACAACACTTTCGATTGCTAAAACCAAATTGCAGGTACTATTACCTCGTTCAATGCAAAATAATCGTTGCTAGTAGACGGCACAAACTAATTTTATGTAGTATTATTATTCTCCATGCTATGAACAATTGGTAAATGATTGAACCATAGATACTCAATTTTAAGCTTATTTTTATGTCATAGGAGTCAAACTGTCAACTAGAAGGAGAAAGTGGTTATGCTTATCTAAAGATTGTAACGAGTAAGCTGAGAAAGAGGCAGCAGTACATGGTTTCTCAAGTTTCATTTATTTATCCCTTGAAGATTGAGGCTGGACCTTCACAAGACCAAGAACTGGAATCATTTCCAGGTGGCACTAGACTAGGTCAGTTGTGTAATTTGAGTCTAAAAGCTTATAAGAAGATATACTTTGATGATAACGAGACCAACTCCTTTACATCTTTCAATGCATGCTTTTTATCTTTCCGTCATTCGGTCTGATATTGATTTCAGCACTAACTTTGCCTTTTGTTGTCGTAAGTGTTTGAAAAAGTTATTAACTACAGCATCTTACCTTCTTGACTTGATTATATCTTATCTATTGCTTTAGTAGGAACTAAGCCTATGAGTCAAGGATCCGTGAAAATTCTGGGGTTACCTTTTAGTATGGCCCCGTTTACAAAGATGAGCTTCTTCACCGAGAAGAAAGAAGTTCAGAAGTCGGCAACCGCCCTAGGATATGTAGCCCATGTGTGTTCCATTCTCTTTTCTCGTACTGATCTATGCATTAAAACTTGTTTATATTTTAATTTTTTGTGTGTGGCCTTCAATCTCTTGGCTTTGGTTTTCAGGAATCCCTACTAATGCATTCTAACAAAGAATCTGATTTGGTTTTACAGTAAGTAGTAATGGCTTCATGCTTTGGCTTTTGCAGGCCGTGTCACTAATAGCTCCTTACTTGAGAGTGCCTCTCCGTTATCCTTTGCGCCTGGGTGGCTCCAAAACGTATATTCGAGACTATGCACCTTACATTGAGCCTTCATCATCAGACATGTCACCAATTTCCACACTTTCACAAACCTCTAAATTCGTAGAGTTCCCTCTGTTTCTGGATGGTCAAGATACAACTCGAGCTGCCTACGCTGTCTTCTTATTAAACAAGGTTAGTTTTCCTCTCCGCGATGCTTGGAGTAGAAACAATGCATATTTTTTTGCCTCTTTCGTCATCTAACTGTAGTAGTATCATATCACAGAACATCGAGCAACTCCTCAACTTTGTGGGGGAAAATAGTCTAGGACCACGTCAGGTGCTAGCAAACCTCAAGGAGCTAATCCGAATCATCCAGTCTCCAGATTATATAGATTC